TAAGGAATAGTATAGAAAAGAAGGAAGGGTGAGGAGAAAAAAAAGAAGGGAAGGGATAAGATGGAGTAAGGAGAGATGAATAGAATAGGATAGGAAGAGTGGGAAGGGAAGAGGGAGGAGGCGTGATGGATGATGTAGTTGGTGCATGCTGATTTTTAAGATCTAAGTCATTTTAAATGTTTGTGGCTGTATGCCATTGCAACGTTCCATGTAAACGCTACTCTTTCCATGGTGTTTTCTATATTGCACCATACTCATCTTTACACTCTCCTTTGGGTTTGAGTGGATTGTCTAGCAATGGATCTCACATAGAAGATCAAAATCAAGGCCAAGAAGTAGAGTTTCAAACCTCCCTAAATTTTGCTTTTTCTCACTAAACTGCGCTGATCCTATTTTAAGGATTTTGTAGCTCATATTAGTCTGTTGATATCTCCTAAGCAGCTTCCTTAGCTATGACACCATGTAATGTGTAAATTGTACTTATTTAAGAATACATGAGTACCTAGAAAATGTGGTACATTTTTCTTAGCCTCTGTTACTAATTAATACTTTATGATTGTTCATTACTTATAGATCAGGTGCTTTATTATACCTGCCCTTTAAGTGGCTTAGGCTCGTGTGTAAAATTCTGACAGGACAGAATTTTATATTTTATTTTGATAAAAATAAAGGCATTTCTTTATTGAAATAGCTAATTTATATTATGTGACAATTTGTTTCCCATCTTAAAGAAAAACTGAGGGTAAGAGATTGGGAAATCTGTAATTTACATAGTGACTTCTCATTCAGAGGCCCACATATGTAGGAATAAAATTGAAAATTGAGGCAATTCTTCAGATAATATAAGAAAAATTGGGATTTTCATTTAACTATGCATATCTAACTTTCAGTATCTAAAAAGGTATATTTTAACTTCATTTACTATTAAAAATCTGACTTAAGAAGTAGTGATCATTCAAGATAGAAGTAATTTCCACCAATGATAAGCCATTGTAAATTCAAGTTGTCTAAATTCCTGGACTTCCTGTGCTACAAGAAACATTGATAGAGCTCTAAACTCAGGATCCCTCACTTTAAGAAAAATCTCAACTAAAAATTCTGTTAGTGTCAATTAATTTTATTTTTTCAAAAACATTCTTGATAGAGCCACACAACTTCATAGTTAGATATTATCTTTGCCAGGTCTTTGAAAAATGTTGCAAACATTCAGTAGTATAGGTTAGTGTTTCTCAATTCCAATTTTTTATACATAATTTTTTATATAGAATACTTACAACTCAATGCAAACAAACTATGAAATGTTGCAACCAGAAATGCTTTAATGTACTTAGTCCAATTATACATTAAGATTGATGTTAGAAGAAATTTAACTCATTAACTCAAAGTGTTTTTTACAACTTGAATTTTTCACTTTTACATATTTGCACTATTATAACATCAATATGTCTCATTGTCTCTCTGGCAGGAGTAAAGCCAACTTTAACCCTAATTAAATTAGTGATACATTTTTTGATTCCTGTTCAAATTCATTACTATGCTAGGAACCACATGTCAATTCAATGTCTCGCTAGATAGTATCATGAGATAATTTGAAGCTAGTTGTTACTTCCTGTACATTTTTATTAGATACAGTTTCAGTGCCACATCTTCATATGCTGATTTTAAAATTCAATATTGTAGCATAGCAGAACTAGAAAATTTTCCTTGATGAATTTTCCAGAATCAAAATTCCTAATTCTATTATCTATAAATTTTTAATAGTTAATATATTGAAGTTTGGTTCTCTTGTTCAATCTACCTTCTATTTTATTAGACAACTTCAATTTTCCTAAAGCATTATACTATTGTATGTAAGCACATAATTAAATCAAAATGTAAAATTAGAAGAGAGTTAAAATGTTAGGTATGAAAAAGAGATAGAAGAATATGAAAAAGATTGAAGAATAAAGACAGAATTCTATGAGAAAAAAAGGAAAATCTGAGAGAAATTAAAAATTTGGCAAAATGCAAAGAGGCTATATTCTCCCCCAAAATATTTACAGATAGTGGAAAAAAACCAACTTTCATTAGTTTATGTAGGAACTCTTAGTCCTTAACATTGGATTAATGTTTTAAATAAGAATACTAGACTCTCCACTCTCTCTTTAGTGTCTTCTTTCCTCTTAAATTGAAATCTATTTCTGCTTAGATATGTTTTTGTATCATTCTAGTGAGTCTCCCATCTACAAATAAGTTGTTTGGGAATTTTTTTTGCAAGTTAGTTGTTAAAAGATGCCTTTTTTTAGAAAGGCAGCAAAATATTATTATTGTAATAAAGTTACAATAAATTAGAGGTTCTCAAACCAACCCAAAAACCCTACTTGGCCCATGTTTAGTAAAACTATCATACTAGTATTCTAAGGTAACAGATCAACGTTTCTGATATTCCGAATTTCACAGTGAGCAGGCAATCTCCCTCTTATTGCACCACTGCCATCACAGAGGTGAAGGAAACCTTGCTTTCGTTGTTGTTTTCTTTCTTGGGTGATCAGAAACCTGGACTTTCTCTGTGTTCAGCCCTCATTTAGCTCAGCGTTTACCCCCTTTTGTTCCATTTCCCAGATTTTGTCTGTCTTCCTTGTTGAATGCTTTACATAAGTCATGTGGCTGATTCTCAACAGGGCTCCTCTTGGGTCTAGGATGGTCCCAAACACCAGAATGAAGGCCAAAAAATCTACTTCCTCGCTGTTGGGGTCTCTGAACGGCCCCAATAAACAGCACTCTTCTTACCCACTTGGGTCGTGAACAATGTGAGGAATAAAACAGAGTATCCCATGAGGCCAAAAATCTCACCTTTGCTCTGAGAGGGACCAGGATGAAGAATGCGGGTTTCTGAACCTCACAGGTAGACACTTACCCACCTAGTCAGGCAGACCACAGGAGGAAGAAGGATGGAGTTGGGTACAGCCTGCTTAGTTATTCCCAAATTGACCAGTAGGTGAAGCAACTCCACCTCTTCTGAAGAGAGTGAGTAAAGAGACAGAAAAGCCAAAAGTATGCTTAGGAAAAGAATTCCCATTTAATGGAAAGTAAGAGTAGGTAAAAGGTTGGTTTTTCTAACTTCTGAGCAGAAAAAGCAGTGCCGAGCTGTAAGGCCATTTGACAATGGCCCCCTCTATTCTTCTCTTTCCATTTTTCATGCAAGAGTCCACCCACCTAGTATGCTAGTGATCTACAAGGCCTTTCTCATGTCTGTATGAGCCATCACCAGCCTTCATCCCACTCTTTTAGCCCTTTCTCAGACATGTAAATAAGAACTCAATCTCCTCTCTCCTCCTTTGCATGAGCCTCCACGTGTGTGTAGATTTAGTAGAAGCCAGGAATCCCTTCAAACTGGTCTCCATACTTCTGACAGCTTGCCCTTGAAGGGGAGGCAAACTTTTTCTCTACCCTTTTAGAATCTCAAGCTGGGCCTGAGAATTAAATTGACGTAAGACAGATTAAGAGGAGAAAAGCATATAGATTTTTACATATACATGGGAGGCCCAATAGGAAAATGAAGATCCAAAGAAGTGACTAGATCTAAGTGCTTACGTCCTAGGTTGAACAAAGAGTAGCAGTTGTGGAAAAGTAACTAAAAAATATGGGGAGATTAAAGGTCTGCTTGTACAGATTTCTCTCAGCCTCCACTGCCCATCTCTGGTGATAAGAATGTTCCTTTCCTTCTGGTATAGGGAGGGCATCTTTCACATGGGAGCTTTATCTCCTGCTTCCAGGAGAAAGGAGAGGTCAGAGTGACCTTCTCGTACCTGCTGTTTTTCAAATGTCTTTAGCTCAAAATAATCCTTACGCCGAAGTGGCGTATTTTGGGGTGGCATATTATGCCACCCTTCACTCTCCACTGCTTTACACAGATCTACAAACACAGATCTGATCGTGTGTTCCCTTACCCAAAGCCCTCAGAGAGTCCTCATTGCATCCGGGATGAGATTCTACGTTCTTCACAGTACATGCAATATAAGCCAGTCTGACCTCAGAGTACCTTTCTCTCTTCATCTCCTGTCTTCCTTTCTCTCTGCTTTGAACTCTTCTCCCAAACCAGAAAACAAACTACTTTCCCGACTGTTTGCACGTGCTTTTCCCTCTGCTTTTTTCCCTGCTATTTATCTGCTCAAATCCAATTCATCCATCAGGGCCATTGCACAGAGACAAGCACCCACCCCCAGGCTTTCGGCATTCCTCCAGGGCTTGCCTAATTATTTGGGCACCTCTGTTTGATAGAAATTTGTCACATTTTGTTGTGATTATTTTTCACTTGTTCCTCTCCCTTCTCCAGGGAAAGGACCATGTCTTATTCATCATTGTGTTTCCAGGTCTAGCACGGTAGCTGGCACATAATGCTAAACAAATTTATTTTAATAAGATTTGTCTATTCCTTATCATCCAACAATAATGATCACATTGACATTTTCTAAAAACACTACACAGGCATTTCCCCAAACCAGTCATTGTCAAGCTGAGAACAGTCTCCCTAATTAATAATGTCTGAGGTTTTTTTTAACCTTCTAATCTGATATTGTAAGTGGCAGAACAAAAATTTTAATCTAGGCTTGTCAAACCCCACACTCTTTCTGCTACACCTCTGGCTTCCTGTGACAAATGGCCTTGCATAGCAAATGTAGTCTTCTCCGTATTCTATGTAGGCAGATCACCCCTACTCCACCAATTCCCTTTTCTCAGCAAAGAAATCAGTGACAGCTAAAAAAAAGAAAACCAACCTGGGCAATTGGGAAGCCCACTAGGTATGTATTAAAGGGAACAACTATAAAGCCAAATGCAACTTTAGAACAATAAATAACACAAGGCACGATATTGAACTATATTGCCATGCCCACAACCACTCACATTCTTAGTCTAATTCTCTTTCCTAGTTTATGTTCTTTCATTAGACTCTGAGTTAGACTTCTATACATTACTACACACTTAATAAAGATATTTCATTTTTCCTGGTGTGCTTCCAGAGACCTCGCATGCAGTGAAGGTTTTATGGTCCTGTGCGGTGCAGCAGATGTCATTCCATTTGCCTAAGTCCTGCTGACATTTGGAGATGTGGATTAATTGAGCTACAGAATGAAATTTAATTAAAATTAAATACAGACTTGGCCATTGTATCTGTTCATTTCCTGCACTCTAGTGTGTGTATTTGCAGGCAGCGCCATAGTTAATTTGTTTAATCAGGATGCTCTGTGGGGGAAGCTGCACTTTGTTTTATGCTGAAAGACTGAAGGTGTGGAGGATGCCAGGTTGGATTTCATTACACACAGTGCGAGCTGTGCAAATGATGCTACTGATGAGCCTCGGAGGGCTACCTGAGGGAGCAAAGTTGCTCCATATGAACCTGTAGAGAGACAACTTGTCATAGACAAGGTTTAGTGATGTCTTTTAAAGTGACATTATGTGACCACAGGAATCTCATCTATTACCCATTACCATGTTGCCATAGTATTTGTTCGTTCTGACATTCGTTCATCCACTCATTCAACGAAGATTTTTTGAGTATCAACTCTGTGCTAGTCCCTGAGTTTCAGATAGACACCACTATTAGTGGTAATCGTATTCTTTTTGCCAGGAAGCAACTGAGGAAGTTTGCCACTTCCTGAACGTGCATTTTTTTAGAACGAGATTTTACAGGATATTGAAAGGTCATCTCCAAAGTGAGGAGGAACTATATTTCTTTAGGTTGTGATGAGATTGTACTAGGGCAAGGAGGTAGATCTCACCCTTCCTTTGAGCTCGATTTCAAAGGCCATCTACGTCTAGGGGGGCTCTCCTGATTCCTGCAGTGAGAAATGAACTCTATCTCAAAAACTCTCCAAAGTTCTTTGTATTTTATCTATCTTCCTATCCTCCTTTCTGGATTATAAGATTTTTGTCAACATCTTTCAATCTTGAAAAATGCTTAGGCCAGTGCAGCATCTCCAGCATGTGCTCAAAGACTATCTCTTCAATATATTGTCAAGCATGTATATTCCTGGGTGGTGGGCATTTGCTGTTTTAGCAGTCTAGTATCACTTCCCCCTTTTTGAGGCAATAGTACCCTGCCTCTGCTTTGCGGAATCACTCCTCCCACACCTATGTGCCTCAGGTAAAGTTGAGTGAGCTGGAGACTGAGCCAATTAGTGCTTTTGGTCCCCTTAGCCTCTGTGATTCATTCAGAAATGGGCACATGATTCACACCAGCCTACTTGGGGACTATAATACGACATTCTAAGGCTTTGATTGCTATTCTGTTGTTTATGAAAGGATGCAACCCATGAGCTCCCTTCTTCTGCAAGAGGAGAATTGTCTGAAAACTGAGCCAACCCGGCTAAAATGAAATCAAGAGAATAGTCCCTTATTATTTTTCAAGGTTCTATTGCTTCTCTGTTATCTTAGCCAATGAGTTTTTCCTTAAGTTGGTTTGATTTGGGCTTTCTGGCTCTAGCATACAAAACCATACCTGACCAGCCTCATTATAACTGTCATATAATGCTGGAGTCACTTATAGGGCACTCCCTATTCCGTAAGCTCCTTAAGGACAGGGACCTTGCCTCTTTATCTAGTGACATATTGACTACCCCAGGGCCTAGAACCATGTGCACTCAATAATTATTTTGTGAAATGAAAGAGTAAATGTAAATTCAGGTGATTATGTGATTATGTCAACAAAAAATTTCCTAACTCTCTTTATTTTCCATAGACATAGTGATGTTGATGATAAGGATGTAGTCAAAAAGAAAACAACAAAATTTATATTATGTGTTTAACTCTCAATAAAGAGAACTAATTTGGATTATTGAACTATGGAGTTTTTGAGAGAAATGTTACATCTATTTCATCTTAACATAACCAGCATCATCTATCATATTACCATGCCTGTGATAGGGGCTCCATAAATATTTGTTGCACAAACAAATAGATGAATAGGGATATAACAGCAGGTTTTTGGCAGTTTTGCAATATTAATGAAGCCATTTTGCTAATTTTAGACTTCATTTATTCAACTGGTATTTACTGAGCACCTGCTATGTGCATGGTACTATGGTATGGACTTCAAGGGGTAAATGAGTGGTCCTCAGTGAGTTTACACTAGAGATGAAAAATCAAATTCGCACGGAAATAACTAGAATGCCAGGCTTAAAACAATTTTTGCCATAAGAGTCATAAATAAAGTGTAAAGGGAACTCTAAGAAAAAAATATGCTTACTGAGAAACTGTGTGCCATGTATTCATCAGAGTGCTTTATTTTTCAAGATTGGCTCCTGATGTCTGTCTGTACAGGGGTAGTTGGATAGACAGGCAGAGCATGACCAACAGTCCTTTTCTCATAGAATATATTACAAAGATTCTCCTTTGCTATGTGGCTGCTGCTGCTGTTTACCTCTTAGTCTCATTTGGCCCAATGCCTTTACTCCAAAAGAGCCACTCTGTTTCTATTTGTGGCGTAGCAGACCAGTCTGTTGACTGTTGTGGCTTCTCAGCAGTCAACTACTTTGCCACATGTTTTTGATGTTGTAATTCAGTGCTCCTTTCAAGTGTTGCTCCTGCCCCCTCCCCTTGTGGTTGCCCCACTTTACTTCACCAGCTGCTTGAGTATTCCACTGCCGTCCGTTCTCCACATCCATCCTGCCCAGAGGAGTTGTGTTGTGACAGCATAGCTTCAATGCTAGTAGACTGGCTACTTTCCAGTATTGTGCAGTTGGTGATCCAGCCTCCTAGGAAACATACCATGTAGTAGGATTTGTAACTCACATTTTCTAAAGCAATTTAAGGCAAGTCCAAAAGTTGTTGTTAAAAATCTTGCCCGATATTTGGAGTCTGTGAGTCCTCTTTTATTTACTCTTGTTTAGAGTTTTTAAAGAAGAATTAATCCTGCTTCCATTTAAAACTGAGCTTCAGTTGACTTGTCTCTGATGGAACACCTCATTGCTTGCTTAAACTTGAGCAGGATTTCATCCTCATTCACTTCTCAGTGTGTGATGAGTATGGTAACAATCAGTGTTTGAAGCCGCCCACACAAATGAGCCCCCAATCACATGACTAGGCTTGTATAATCACAACCTTCCTTGTTTCCTTTGTATTGCTTCATTGATACACTAATTCACCAGACATTTACTGAGCACCTACTGTAGTGGTTCTCAAACTTTTGGTCTCGGCACACTTTTACATTCATAAAAACTATTGAGGACTCCAAAGAGCTTTTGTTTATGCCGATTATTTCTATCAATATTTGGTATATTAGAAATTAAAACTGAGAAGTTTTAAAAATATTTGTTAGTTCACTTGGAAATAACAATAAACCAATTACATATTAACCTAAATAACATGTTTTATGAAAAATAACTTTATTTTCCAAAACCAAAAAATTAATAATAAGAGTGACATTGCTTTACATTTTTCCACATCTGTTTGTCAGGCTTACTACAACTGGATTCTCTTATCTGTTTCTGCATTGAATCTGTTTTGATAGGTTGCTTTGATTGAAGTATATGGGAAAAAATCTGACCTCACACAGATATATAGGAATATTTTTATTACCACTTCAGATAATTGTGGATAGATTTTTAATACACATCAAAACTCAACAAATGGTGGCTTCTTAAAGGTTAGTTGCAATGTGGAATCTGAAACCCTATCGCACATTTCAAATGGATCTGTGACCATCTAACATTTAGTAAATTCATATATTGTTCATTTCGAAAACATTGGCTCACTGAGCTACACAGATCTTCAAATGTTGATACATTTCATTATACAATACTGAAAAATTATAATTATTAATGTTGTCACTGATCTCATCAGAAAAATCTTTAAACATTAGGAAGCTGCTAAGTTTATGGTGGCAGATAGAAGTTATCCAAAATTCTGATTTTGCTTGGATGTTTGAATTTTATCATTGGTAACAAATATTGTCCGTTGCTTTCCTTGAAATGACTGTCTCACTTCATTCATTTTTGAGAAAATATCTGCCAGATACGTGTCAGTTGTTCTTTCAAGTAAAAATGGCGTTCCATGACAAAAGTAGCTAGGTTAGCCCACAACTCAATCACACAAGTACTTTTACTCAAGACAGCCATTGTATCTTGGTATGCAGGGACGTGCTTTGTGAGACCTTCCCATTTCATTACCCAGAATATTCAAAATATGTAAACTTAAGGGTCAAGATTCAATAAAATTGATTATTTTCACTGCCTCATCAATGGCGTCTGTAAGTCAGACTAGCATTTTATTTTTTGATACAACTTTATTTTTCAATGCAACTGCACATCAGTGAAGAATACAACAAGCACTAATAGAGTTTGGTGTGCTACTGCACTGATTGGTGCAAAGGCTTGATAAGCAGTGCATAGGTCCATGCCCAGGATCCAAACCAGTGAACTCCAGACCGCCAAAGAAGAGTGCCCGAACTTAACCCCTACGCCACTGGGCCGGCCTCAGAAATTGCCATTTTTGTGGATCAAAAGTTTTGAATATTAGCAGTTTCATATGGTTCAACCTATAGAATAAAATATACATTTCTGTGTGTATAAAGAATCATGTCATAAAAATAGTTTAGATCTAAGTGAATACAAAACTAGTACACAACCAGCATGAAATGCAGAGAGCTCTAGAGAGTTTCTAAGTTGAAGAGAGATAAATACTAGAAAATTTATACAGGTAGAAGGGGCAGAACCCTTTCCAAGTAGAGGAAATAGTCTGAGGAAAAGTTCAGAAATGGATATAAATCCAAGTAAAGGATATTTATGACCTACTTAAGATGCAGAGCTCTGTTTCTGAGGCTTGAAAAATAAAGAGAAATTGTATTGGGGAAGGAATGGGCAGTTTGAGAGTTTTTCAGTTGCCGATCTGACAAAGTTAACTTTGATGTAGAAAAACAAAGCTGTAGAAGATTATCTAGTCATTTATTCAACACACATGTATTAAATGATTACGATGTGCCAAACACTGTGCTAGGCACTAGAGGGGTCAAAACTCATCATTTAGTCATAGAACTCCTACTTTAGTCATTGAACAAGATTTGTGCTTTGATCACATGGTAGTGATGATCCTAAACAGCTGGTCATAACACATTGTTATATGTGTGTTTAATGTGTTATCAGAACACAGATGAGTAATCAATTAATTCAGCTTGGGGGCAAAGAGAAAAAACTGCATGTAAGAGATAACATGTGAGATTGAATGAAAGGGGTAATAGGAATTGGCCAACTAGAAATGGGGACGGGATATGCAGGGATGAGGAGATTGCATTGGCAAAGGCACAGAGATGTGGAAAATCTTGGCACTGTTTAAAAATAGAGAGGATGGTTCATTGTGGTGAGAAAGTAGGAAACATGGGAAGTGTGGTTGGAAATGTCAGTTGGATTCAGGGAGCAACGATCTCTGTACTCTCTACTGCAGTAAGCCTTTGAAGACTTCTTCTTATGAGGCTATCCTGGCAGATCAGAGGATGGTCAGGAGGGAGAGATACTGCAGGCTTGGAAAACAATTAGAAGACTAAGCCAGAGATACTGAGGACTGGAATCCCTGCAGTGCGACAGGCAGGAAAGGAGAGCAAACAATTTGGGAACTCTTTGGAGGAAGAATTAATAAAATATGTTGGGTGATTGTGGAAAGAGCAAAAGATCATTCATTGCTTGTAGCAGAGCAAGGTAATGGCATTAAAAAGATAAGACATATTGGATACAGAGGTCTTGGGGAAAGAGAATGATTTTGTTTGGGGACATAGAAAGATCAGGGCTAAAATGTAAATTTGAGAGTCATTAGTATACAGGCGATGTTGAAGAAATGGGAGCAAATGATCACCAATGGAGAAGCCATATGGAGTAGGAAGAGAAGAGAGCACCAATCACAGGAACCATATTCCGGCAGATGTGAGAAGAAGACGGATTTTAAGTGGGACAGAATCAAGTAAGAAGTCAAGTTCTCTAGAGAAGAACTGACGTGGCCTAGATTCAAGGGACAGTAGTGGGGTAGAGTGAGAGGGCATATATGACAGACTATTTGGTGGAAAAATCTTTGACGACTTGGACTTGAGCCAGATGTTATTAGTGTTGCTGCAACTAGAAGAGCAGGACAAGCAGGTCTTCCTAGGCTGTTTTCTCTGATTGGATATCTTGCTTTTTATATTTCTTTCAAGATTTCTGAAGCACCTAGTGGCCTAGAACTCAATAAAATTCTCCTGAATATTGGAGAGGTTTGGGTGCCATGTATAGCTCAGTAATAATGTTTCTATCTCAAGGTGTCATAGAGCCACTGGGAACCACCTCTAGCATGTCTTCCAGTGTCTGTTTCTAGAGGGCAGAATAACTCTACACTGGGTCTGAGATGGAGTCATCATAGGGCTGCAAGGAGTAGAGAAGACTGAGTTTCCCTCTGGGCAGAAACAAAGTGACTTTGTTGGGGACCTACATCCACACAGTCCCCCTATTTGCTTGCTTACAATCTTGCCCTCACTCAGAAAGCCCTTCATCCCTATTTCCATCAATCTTACTTCATTAAGATCAAGTTAAAAGCTCACATTCACGACGAAATCTAACCCTATTCATCCATTCCCACTCTGTTCATTCCCATACTCCACACCTTTTTTGCTTTACCCCTTGATCCGTTTTTAAATGTTCCTTTGCAGTTATCATATGCTTGTAATTATTCTGAACAGTTATGTATATTTTTGCACACCAACTACCCATTTTCAGCTCATTCTTTACATTTTCTTTTACTCCCAAAACATCTACTAAAGATCACCAAATTGTAGCTACTTATCAATGCTTAAATTAATAAGTACACACACACTCACTCACATGATCTCTTTGAATTATTTCTGTTCATATACATCCACATGTTCAAAGACTGGGCATTATGCTAATCCCTGGGATTATAACTGTGAGCAAGCGAGGCATGGTGCCCGTCCTCATGGAGCTTGCCATCTCGTGGTAGGAAAGACGTACAAATAGTAAGTGTGGTAAGTGCTATAAAAAGGGGTATGAAGATCAGAGAAGCCTTCCTGGTCAAAGAGGCTTTCAGGCTGAGACCTGAAGTACCGAGTTAGCTAAGAAAAGGTGAAGAGTACACAGGGAGTTGTTCCAAGTGCATCTGAATGGAAGATGTTCATTGTGCCCAGAGGTAGAGTCTGAGAGAGGGGTGTGGTGACAGAAAGTGTCACTATGAGGCTGGAGCCCAGTCTTAAATGTCACATAAGCTTTGTGAAGAAACTTGAATGTTATCTGAATGGTAATTAGAAGCCATTAAGATTTTTTTAAGGTGAGATTGGCATAGCAGTATTTGTAATTTTTATAGCTAGCTCTTTTTAATTATTGAAAAAGTAGCATATATCACAGCATAAAAGGGCTCCCCAAGGACAGTCATTGTGAACATTTCTTATGCAGTTTTTCAGAGAATTCTATCTATACGTAGACATGCATATATATGTATTTGTATCCTTTTTTCACACGAGAAAGAGCATGTTGTACACACTGTTCTGTATCTTATTTTTTCCACTTGACAATATAACATGGAGATTTTTCCATGTGGTCTCATGAAGATCCATGTTATTCTTTTTAACTGCAGCCTAATATTCAGGAATATGGGTTTCCATAAATTATTTGACCAAAATCCAATTGATGAATATTTACATTATCTTCCCTTTTTACTTATTGCAAAAGTTGCTGCAAGAAGCATCCTTGTTTGTTTATCTTTGTGTAGATATGCCAGTATTTCTGAAGGGTATATTTCTAAAACTAGAAAAGTCTAATTGAAGGGAACCAGTATTTCTGAAGGGTATATTTCTAAAACTAGAAAAGTCTAATTGAAGGGAACTATTATTTAAATTTTTAAATAGATAAAAATGTTTGAACTTTAATAGATATTCTAAATTTCCCTCCAAAGAGGTTCTGCTAATTTACATACCCATCAATAGTATATGATAGGGCTTATTTTCCCCACATGCTCAAATTTTTAAATTTTTCTCAATCCGATAGGTGAAAATGATGTCTAATTTTAATTTGCATTTCCTTTAAGCATCTTTTCAGACTCTTAAAACCCATATTATTTTTATGTATATTGACTGCTTATATCCTTTGCCCATATTTCTTTTAGATACTGATATATAAGAGTTCTTTATTGATTAGCAAAATTACCTCTTTGCTCTATGTATTGCAAATATTTTTCCCAGTTTATGATTTATCTTGTGATTTTTCTTGGGAATTTTTTCTGAGGAGATTTTAAAAAATTTCATGTATTCATAATTATCAATCTTTTCCTTTATCATTTTTGAAAAATAGTTTGGAAAGATCTTCCTTCTGTAACATGAAGAGTGAATTAGAACAGGATGAGATAAAACCAATTGGGAGACTATTAGGATAATTCTGTAGGGAAATGATGGTGGCCTGAATTAAGACAGTGGCAGTGGGAATAGATGGAAATAAACAAGTTTGTGAAAACGGAATTGAAAGCATCTGAACTTGGAGATTGGTTGGACATAGGAGAAGGAAGAGATATGTTTCAGGGAGGATACGCAGGTTTCCTGGCTTGGGCAACTGAGTAGATGGTTCGCTAAGATGGAGAACAACTGGGAAAGAATATCTGGTTTCAGGAAGAGAGTAGATGCCAAATTCAGTTAGGGCACATAGAGTTTGAGATGGCTATGGACTGTCTGAGGATAGATACTTAGTAGGTAGGTGGTTATTTGGGTCTGGAGCACAGTAAAGAGAAAGATTTGAGTCATCAGCACATTGATGCTACTGAAGCCATGGGAATGGATGAGACCATCCAGTATGTAAAAGGAGAGACAAGATGCAATGCTGAGGTATAACCACATATTGAAGACTGAGAATTGGGAGGAAAACTGGGAGAGGGTGATATCTTTGAAGTGAAGGGAAAAGAGTATGTATTTTAGAGATTAATTGGATGTTGGCAGAGCTGAACCTATGTATAAACTACTAACTGGAACCCAGCAGGATAAAAGTGTGCTCAAACGATTAAACAAAAACAGCTACAACAGCAAAACAAAATCATAGGAAGGCAATATTACGTGTTATTATGGGCAGTGAGTGTGGATAATTTATGAGAAGATGCTTTTTTAGTAATTCCCGTGGACTATTTTATTTTATTTATATCTACCCTGTTGAGGCTGTGGAACTTTATTTTACAGGTGACCAGTCTCTGTCAGTCCTTGCTTTCTTATCCCATCAACCTACCAACATTAATTTGTATGCATGGTTAACCTTTCCCAATTCAACTGGGTGATTCCACTGCTTTTCACAGATAAATACTTATGTGAAACATCCCAGATATGAATTTTATTCGATATTTCTTAAGGATGACAGCTGCATCCCTATGTATTCAGTCAATAACATTTTGGAAATGTTACCTGTTGTTTTTAAACTAAATTATGCCATTATCAGATATTCTACACAGTATTATTTTAAGATGAGATAGGAAAAATGGATCATAATTAAAACAAAAATATAACATTTTACTTAACTTGAAAATGGAAGCTTGGATTTTTAGTGTTCTGATTTTATACTAAAATACCTGCTGAATTCTTGTTGTTGGTTTCCTTTGGAAAATTGCCAATTGAAGCTCCTTTTACAAAGATGAGTGCCAAATCATACTGCCTTAGTGCTGTTGAGTTCTCTTACTGTAATTGAAATCACATTAAAGGTAGGTATACTACCAGTGTGAACTACAAACACCTCTTGATTCAAGGAGAGAGGTCACAGTAAGCAGCAGAGACCAAATGAACTCTGGCTTTCTTATTCTATCCTTTATTTCTGTAAATAAGAAATGTACTGATGTTGAATGCATCCTGACTTCAGAAACTTATAATTTGAAATTGGAGACCTCCAGAACTATTTTGGAAAGACTTTTAAACCTGGGCAACTCCCTGCTGTTATAAAGACTGACGGTGCTCCTGAACTGTAACAAGAAGATTTTATATAAGACTGTTCTTACTAGAACCTGTTTTATATAAGAACACACTTAAAAAGCTAATTTCTTTTCTCCTTTTTGCACTGCAATCCACAAAGTGTGACTAATAATAGATTTAAATTTGCTAAGTGCATTCACTCCTTTGTGCCATCATAAAGAGAATCTATTACTGTAAAATTGAGGCTTAGTTCCAAATTGCGCCATTATGAAGTTTTCTTCCAGCAATGTTTTGTCTCTAATACACTTCCCTCATTGTAATTCTATTGCAAACCTGATGTCTAGCATCAAGTCTCACAATAATTATTTTAAATTGCTACTAGGAACAGTAGTCCTGGTGGGATATATTACTACCATTCTAACAAGATGAATTTCAATGCACTTGTAGCCATATTATAGTATATTATGAAAGAAAATCTTCGAATTTTACATCTACAGACATGCATGTAACACAAAAATAATTTTTATAAACTTCAAAATGCTTATGTTGAACTTCGATTTAAACTAATTATAAGTCACAAGAACAAATTAGGATACTAACTACATGGCCCATTAATAGCGTGCTGAGTGACTTGAAATGAATAAATGATTATAAATATAAAAATAATAGTAATGCTACTGCTTGGAATAATTATGCATATAAATATATTTATATGATAGATTTTAAAGATAATATAAATTAGATTACTATGGAAGAAAGACATCAGAAAACTATTAAAAATGAAGCTGACATAAAACTTTGTCCCTAATTTAATCTTTCCCGATGTTTAGGGGTCATTTAAATAAATGAACTACCCAAAAAAGTGTGTTTAAAAATAATTTATTGTATAGTAGAAACTTCAAAAGAGTCATGTTCAGCAACCTAAAACTGATTGAGTCATTATTTTGCTAATATATCATAGATGGGCATACTACCAGAAATCAACATGGGAAGCACTGGAAAACATTTTAAGCCATCGTGAAACTTAGAGAATTGCTTAACAGTAGTGTTATGAAATATACTGTGTTTCATGAGTGATTTCACATTCTTACTGAGGGCATTCTAAAATTCACCTTACTAATAAGTTGCCTACAGGCTTACAAATAATTGGGGAGATGATCACTTTAGATTCACTAGAGGTATGAATCTTGAATTTGGAGCATAACAAAATTATTGTGAAGAAAAAGTAGAGCCAAGCTTCCCTGTTATAGATAAAATGATGGTCTGAGATCAAAAGCTAGTGCAATCATAATGATGTAAATAATTCGGCACATAAAATTTAGAAGAAAGTCCAAGTATCAATTCTGTATCTGCAGGAATTCTCTTTAAAAAATGTTTGCCTACACCCCAAATGAAAATCACTTAGCTACCTAGTGAAATTTAAAGTTACTCCCTGGAGTCAACCAAATGGGAAAAGTAAATCTGCATACTTTACAAAAAGGGGCAGCTGAATTTACATAAGCAATTCAGTATTTTACCTTAAATAGTAATGGAATGAACTATATTACACACCAGCCAGCATGGAGCTACCAATTGAGTAATGAGAGATTACATCAAAATGGCTGCATGAACTTGACCTTCTATTTATAATAAGATGGTTCTCTGTTATGCAATAACAACCATTCTGTAGCATTTCCAGCATAAAGAAAAATATAGAATTATATCAGTGTATCTGGGCATTACCCTTTAGAAACCTAAGAAGGTTATCTTCTCACTATTAGGTCACCTCTCAAACTTTATATATTGTTTTGTAATTTAGTTGTAGTCTCTTTTCAGAGATCTAAACCTGAAATCACATATTTTTGATGGGGAAACATTGGTATTTGTCAGTAGATGTGTCATTATCTTTGCGTTTACTCCTACATTTATATTTACTCCTTTATATGTAAGCTTACATTATTTTAGATATACTGTGATGTTACTGGGATAAAGCAGAACCCAAGGCAAAAATGTCCTTTGTTAACAATGTTTTTCGTCCTAGATCTGTTCTCCAAGTGGCCAAATGTAATTGCATTATTATATTGGCAAATGCTTCCATAGAACGAAGCACAAGATTTCACCCCATACTTTTAGGTTGAAAAAAAAAATCCAAGTTAATAGAAACATAATGAGAAACAGAAGGTGTCTTGGCTCTCAATTTTGTTAATCAAAAAAAAAAAAAAAAGAACCAACAACCTCATAAACCTTTTACAATTTTCCGCCAATACCTTGCCCTCCACCTTTGGAATTAAAAGCTCTTTTTGTGAGATCCAAATAGAACCAATTGTCCAGAAGAACATATTAAATAATGTTTCCCCAAGAGCGTGACTGAAAAAATATGCTGACCCTGTGCTTATCAATGCCTTTTGAAATCAGTACTAATTTCTAAAGGATGATAAAGAAGGCTGTTATTTTTAATGTCATACACATGTTCCCATTCCTTCACATTTCTTAACAATAGAATTTGGGATTAACTCCTTGAATGCTGTGTTGCATATGCACCAACAGTTCATTTATGATTGGAAATGTCTCCTCCTAGCGTCTAGGTGAAATTGATTTGAGGAAGTTATATAATATATTGAAGCTCTTCAGAAGAAAAGAACCGCATACCAATTAGCCAAAGTCCAAAAGCCAAAGGACTAAGAACATCACATCCCTCCAGATTTCCTGAACTTGCACGATCCTAAGAGTCATCTGGATCACTTCTTACGCTATAGATTCCCAGGGCCCTCCTGAGCAATTCAGTTTGCACAGACCTAGGATAGGGACTAAGAATTTGTAATTTTTCAATCATCTTAGATGTGTTGAGAAACATTTGAGTTATCTCAAATCGAACTCTTTGTACTTAAGACAATTGGGAGTAAAAATTACCTTTCAAGGGTTTTGGCAAGATTAACTTGCTATTGAGAACTCAATGAGTTGATGACACACATCTAAACAGAACCCAGTTCTCTCTCGGCTCATCCTCTGTGTCTGTGTTTATGTGTGATTGGGTTATTTTGGTTCAAAACAGGTTTCCTTTTTTAAAAGACAGGTTAGCTAAGCACAGCGTACGTCTGAAGTGATGTGTTTGATTGACAATGAATAAAAATAGTTATTTTACATCTCCTAGAAGCATATAGTGAAGACATCGTAAACCTGGAAAGGACTCCAAGATTTTTAGTCTACCACACTACCTCCTGGGA